ATGGAGACATCCTTCCCACACAAAACTATGTCGATTGCCTGTACTGATGAGGCTTGAGGGCACCAACACCGAAAACTTTCGCAATTTTATCAATACAAATATCACGATTCATGGGCGCCGCCATTTTGTTTAAAATGAAACGCCAAAGAGGGATTTATAACACGCAAACTGATTGATCAATGATTACCCGCAACTGACTACTGGGGGCGCTGTTAGAATACGCATATTTGATGGTCGTTCTGCCAAGGTCTGTTTAGAGGTTTGGCCGAATAAACTTAGACCTTGGCTAGCGAAGATTTAGCCGCGTCCATCATTTTCGCCGTTTTTGATATATACATTTTTCACCATACTCTATGCACAATTCCTATGAAACGCACCCTCTAGCGATGGAACGCTTCTGTGACGTCAATAGAGCACAATAGGAAAAGCATATTAAAGATACGAACTGATGTGCCTTTTCTTTTATATAAACCACGTCATCACGATCCTGTTTTTGTTCTTTAAGCTGGAAGATTGAAAAACGCCGAGATACGTGTCGGCGATAGCCTGGATTTCACTACCAATACCCAGTGTGGTATTAAACGGATCAGCGGCAAAGAAACGAGAGTTCCTACCGTCCGACAGGCATGTAGCTGTGGGTTACCTGTCACTGGTAGATACGTTAGTATACAAATAATGGAAAGGGAGCAGACATTATCGCTATGTGAAGTTGAGGTATGGTCAGTAGAACGAGTCACAGCCATACCGCCCATTACGTTCACGTTTGGACCTCTATACACGACAGTGGAACGTAAGTGATTTCTTGAATTGCAATTATTATATCACGTCATGTCAATCGAAGTATGAATATTGTTCTGGGCGTAAATAAGGGAAATGACACTTTCAATTCTACAGAATAGTGAACGCCCTAAAATCAGACCATTTGCTGATACCACCATGGCAACAGCAGCGCTTTTCACCCTGACCACTTGTTTGGGGAGGGGGGGGGGGTAATAATTCATGAAATACGGAGGCAAATATGTGATAAGTCGTTTATTTATGATGATAAATGAAAAAGTGCTAGAAATGATGTTTTTGTTTGTAAAGATTCTCTCTCTAGCTATCTGGGTACTGTTTGCATATGGGTATCATCATTCAGCGTGTATTCATTTTTTAAAACAAAGATCTCTCTCTTGAGTGTAATATTAAATCGATTTAAACATACGAGATATTAGCAAAAAAATCAAATTATTTTTGTTTATAGAACAAAATTACATGATCATATTTCAGGTCATTTTGTATTCATTTATTTTTAGTTGGCTTCTGTTGTGTAATAAGTTATTATTTTTATGAATCCCAATAGTGTAATATTTTATTGTGATAATATTTTACATTTTATTCAGTGGCAATTTTTTCCACATTACTGGTCTCGAACATTAACAATCTGTTATGCGATTAATGATATTGGTCGTTCGCAAAAGCGAGGATATAAAGGTTATGGCCAAACTCTCGTCTTAACGTTGAATCTAGACGAACTAAATTCGATTTGTCTATTCCCGTAGCATGTGCTGTACCAGAAGGTTTGACAAACATTGCAACTGGACACATGGTTATACAAAGCTCGACGCAACGCAATGGGGTAGCGGAGCGTGCCATCGACGGCAATACAAACAATGACTTCGCGGGAGGGTCCTGTACCATGACTAGTAAGGAATTCCAACCTTGGTGGAAGATTGATCTCGGAGTTTCTCGGGAGATATACCATGTGACCATCGCTAACAGAATGGATTGCTGTAGTGAGTATTTTACGCTTACAGCATAATTGTTGGTCATGGGTAGGTTACCATGTTGTCAATACGTGACTACCATGTTGTCAATACGTAGTTACCATATTGCCAACACGTAGTTACTGTATTGTCAACACGTAGTTACCGTATTGTCAACATGTTGTTACTGTATTGTCAACATGTAGTTACCGTATTGTCAACATGTAGTTACCATGTTGTCAACACGTGGCTACCATATTTTCAATACGTAGTTACTGTATTGTCAACATGTAGTTATCGTATTGTCAACATGTAGTTACCATGTTGTCAACACGTGGCTACCATATTGTCAATACGTAGTTACCGTATTGTCAACACGTAGTTACCGTATTGCCAACACTTAGTTACCGTATTGCCAATACGTAGTTACTGTATTGTCAACACGTAGTTACCGTATTGTCAACACGTAGTTACCGTATCGTCAACACGTAGTTACCGTATCGTCAACACGTAGTTACCGTATTGTCAACATGTTGTTACCGTATTGTCAACATGTATTTACCGTATTGTCAACATGTATTTACCGTATTGTCAACATGTAGTTACCGTATTGTCAACATGTAGTTACCATATTGTCAACATGTTGTTCCCGTATTGTCAACACGTGGCTACCATATTGTCAACACGTGGCTACCATGTTGTCAACACGTGGCTACCGTATTGTCAACACGTGGCTACCAAGTTGTCAACAGGTGGCTACCATGTTGTCAATACGTGGCTACCATGTTGTCAACACGTGGCTACCATGTTGTCAACACGTGGCTACCAAGTTGTCAACAGGTGGCTACCATGTTGTCAACACGTGGCTGCCATGTTGTCAACACGTGGCTACCATGTTGTCAACACGTGGCTACCATGTTGTCAACACGTGGCTACCGTATTGTCAACACGTGGCTACCATGTTGTCAACACGTGGCTACCATGTTGTCAACACGTGGCTACCATGTTGTCAACACGTGGCTACCATGTTGTTAACACGTGGCTACCCAGTTGTCAACAGGTGGCTACCATGTTGTCAACACCTTGTTACAATAATGTTAACACGTAGTTACTGTATAATCAATTTGTAGTTAACATATTGTCTACACATGCCTTTCCCAGATTTTCGTGTGAGAAAAAGTGAAGTGCGCGTTGGTGACAATGAAGATTTTACCCAGAATGCATTGTGTGGCCCTCGGCCAATCACAGGAAGAATGGCAAGAAACGAAACCATCAACGTTGTCTGTGGATGCGGGGAACCAATCACGGGACGCTACGTCAGTATACAAATATTTAACAAGACTCAGATATTGACTCTGTGTGAGGTGGAGATTTATGCGTTCTCCGGAACAGGGAATTTAACATTGAGTGAACAATGGACGACTGTTCCAATGACGTCATTGCCGTTCACAACTGGGCCAGGATTCACGACTCTGATACGTAAGTTATTATGCTCGGGTTTCTATGGTGATGCGGTGATACTGGAAGTATCTGAACAGTTTGCTATGCAATGATATACAAGTGAAATTACACAAAGGATTACATTGCTCTTATACTGTAAAATGACTAATTTTCACTGGGTTTAAATTTCGCTGATTTACCATTTTAAGCATATTCAGTTTGGTTTTAAATTCACGGTTTTATCATTTAGATAATGTGTTCTATGCTGAATTTTACATATTTGCTGGGTTTTAATTTAGCGTATTTTCCAGTCAGCGAAATAAGCAAAATTAAAACCTAGTGAATAATTAACCCTTTTACAGTATACAAAGTACACGTAGATACGAACAAATTAATTTTGTTTCTAGAAGATTATGTCGAATGTTCAATTTCCATCCTTAGTAGTATGTGTAGACGTATGGACAAGGTTAAGTCTTAACACGAAACAACAAACTGTAGAAATTTACAAAACTATTGATAACACATTAGATGCTTATTTCATTGAAGCAAATCAGTTGCCGCTCAGAAGCTATTGTTTTCCCCGAGTAGTTTTGCTGCTAAAGGGCGCTACTTTGTTGCTGTATCTTGATTTTATTTTCACTGTTATGGTAACTTCCGATAATGAATGGAGCAACGCATCCCCCATCCCTTAATCAACCTGGCCACGTCGCAGTGAAATACCTAAACTGAATTCATTGCTGTAAGGGGTGATGTGTTCGCCGTGTATGCCTGCAAAACAGCGGCTCGTTCTTATCATAATACTAAATATCATATTTTTGTTTTTCCCAGCATGCATCGAGCCAGTAGGATTACTAAATACCACCAAAGGTGTAGGAGCAATTCAGAGTTCGACCAGGCGTGGAGCTAAGGCAGGCAGAGCAGTGGATAGTGGATACAGCAGCGACTTCGCTGACTTAACGTGCACACACACTGCGAAGGAATGGGAGCCATGGTGGATGGTGGATTTGGGAGGCCCACTAGAGGTGTATAAAGTTTCTATCACAAATCGGATGGACTGTTGCTGTGAGTTTATTCATAATTTTTGTTTTCTTAGAATTTACAATGACGTCATCGGCGCATTGCTAAGAGTCGTCTACTTTCATTAGCATATAAGGTCAAACTGCAATGACGTCTGTTAAGACTTCAAAAGTGTCCCAGTGCTGAAATGCAGTAAGATAGGTATACGCGGTGTGCATCCCATGTGACGATGTAGTAAGCCAGCACAGAGAAATGAAAGCAATGCTAGCAAACACTAAACACCGAGTATATATAGTATCAGAGGTAAATTACTTGGGGTTTGCAACGCTCATAGTACTGTATGGTGATATCATGCCAAGATCCCATTCACGTCTCATTTCGTAGATAGCGAGACTGATGCTACTACCTTCTGGCATGACAGAGGCGGTTTGCAAAAAACAATAAAACATGTATTACCACATTCATAGTGAACAAATGTAATACATCGAAAATTTACAGAAAATGTAGTTATCGTAATCCATCATATCGTGAGCAGCTATTTTGATCCACCTGGACATCCCAGTATCCTAGTTACCTCCGGCATGCGCATTCGCATTTTTCTGAGTTGGGACGCTTATGCGAGAGCGAGATTGGAACGGGATCTTGGTATCATGTCACCGTAGTTGCAAACCCCAAGTAATGTACCTCTGATAGTATATATACTATATAGTATATATATACACTCAATATTTATGTAGTTGTGTCTTAATTCCTCTATTACCGTATATATATATATATATATTTATATATATATTAATAGTTGTTGTTTATATAAAATATATATGCACTGACTAATTTGAAAATTTGACTTGAATTAGTTTCAAATATTTATATGGTGATATTTTTCAGTGCGTGCAAATTTAACACTTTTGATGTCAGTCGTCACGATCTGATTCGTGACGTCACAAATAAAGGTTTGCGAACGGTTTGGTGAATTTCTACATATAAAAAGTGTTTTATCACAATCCCTTTAAAGATGAAAATGTTATTCCAATTCCGCCCTCACGTATCACTTCAGCGTCAAACACGGTTACATGGCATACAGTCAGTCCCTTGTTTATTTGTTGGTGTTTTCTTTCAATAAAATAACATATGATGAGAGTGTGTGAATGACAAAAATCGTGTTACCGTGAAATAAACATTGGAAAAAACACCAACAAAATAAACAAGAGGCACATCTAGGTGAACAAATGCGATTTGATATGCTAATTAAAGATACAAAAACTGAACGCAAACGTGTTGTTATACTTTTTAAATCTCAATCGAACATGATTTTGTGTAAGTCCAGCGTCATTTCAGGTTTCTAGTGAGAGAATTTCGTGTTTTCTTTCTCTCTTTGATTTGAATGTTTTTGTTTCTCTGCCCAGCTTTTCGATTGAGAGGTTCCGAAATACGCGTTGGGAACAGTCTTAGCATTGCTGAAAACACCATGTGTGGGAAGCGACCACTATCACGTAGAAGCACACGGGCTGAGACGATTGACCAGGTGTGTAACTGTACAGGAATACCGATTGAAGGGCGATACGTGAGCGTACAAATAAAGGGGGCAAGGCAGGTACTGAATTTGTGTGAAGTGGATATATGGATGCTCGAGCCTGGACATTATACTGAGAAAGGTGAGAGAAACACACTTGATGTATGTTATGAAAGGCATAAATTAAATATATAATATTACAAAAAGATTTAAATATATTTTGGTCGAGAAATTAAATTCAATAGCGTCCTCCATTGTGTCTGGTTAAATGTGGTTTTGGCCGTTGGTGGCGTTTTTGAATCCAAAATGCTTTGCATAAGAAAGCTGATGATATTGCTCACTTTTGCTTTGATGTAAGTTATGGCTAAATCTGATACTTCGTCCGGAATAGACCACTTTCCCGGAAGTAGCAAAACTGGGGTGCAAAAATACTTCCGCCAGGGCGGAAATTTCACAAACATGTCAGTTGGCTGATAGAACGGAATTTTATTTTTGTGACGTCGATTCGTACACCCAGATACACAATATCACGCGTGCAAATTTACGTTACATTCCAAAACGGCATGCGCGCGCATGCGAAATGCTGTATCTTCGACTTTCGGGAAAGTGGTCTATGCGTTCAACCAGAAACGAGGACCACTTTCATGGGATATTGAGGGCGCATTTTGACCACAACAATCCAACATTGTATGGTGTTGTATTATGCTACATTGTTACTATTGCATTGTCTAGTATCGCGTTACGTTGTTGTCATACAGTAAAATGTTATTCTATGGGGCGTTGTTACGTTGTTATTGCGATAGTGTGAAGTATTACGTAAAATATTACATTACTTTTTCATCGTGATAGTATTACGTGACGTAGTTATTTTATGGTGTGTAACTTTTCGTTACGTTTTTAGCATTATGGGTAGTATTACGTTAATTCAATATTACGTTACTGTTGCGTCACGTTGTTTCATAAAGAGTAGTGTCACGTTACTTTGTTATTGTGATACAATGTAGTGTTACGTTGTTTCATGTGTAGTTTCAAGTTACATTATTTTATTCTGTGTAGTATTACGGTATGCTGTTTTCGTGGTACGCTGTAGTATTACGTTACGTTGTTATTTCATGATGCACCGTGTTACGTTACTTTTATATTAGGATAGTATGCAGTATTACGTTATGTTATTATTTTTTGATGCGTACTATTACATTACGTCGTTTACGTAATTATAGATTACGTTGCTATTTACATGATTTAAAAACTTACTTATAGTATGTACTATCCCCAACGATGTCCAGAATGTCGCCCTCGGCAAACTTGTTCAGCAGAGCTCCATCAAGAATGGAGGTGAACCCGAACGAGCCGTTGACGGTAACAAGAACAGTAACTTTGATGGAAATTCGTGCTCTCTGACTAAGCGTGAGAATGAACCGTGGTGGGTTGTGGATTTGGGAGAGTCACGTGATGTATACCAAGTGGTGATAACCAATACGATGGACTGTTGCTGTAGTTGCAATTATGAGAGTGGGCGGGCAAACGTCGTACG